CCCTCTTGTCCCCCATCCGCCCTTTCTATATAGGTGAAGGCCTCGGTAGGGGATACAGAGGGAGCCCGGCAATGCTGGGCCGCAGCCTATCAGTGCGCCTCTCTGTTGACAGGCCCGGACTGGGTCCCCACCATTGACTTACGCCGGTACGTTTCCCTCCGTTTTCCTTTGGCATGAATTGTTGAAGAACCTCGTATTCTTAACCTCATTGTTGGCAGACGGGCACCCGCATTGATCTTCGTCCGTTCAGCGCCATGTTTTCTCTGCTTGTTCATGGGTGGGAAAGACTTCCTCCGCTTCCTTTTTTCTGCCTGCTTCATGTTCCACGAATGGATCCGTGTCACTGCATGTATCGCGCACATACCTCCCTGGATACATCTATGTCTTCTCTATTCCTCCCCCCCACCCTTCGTCACTCCCTTTCTCGTTCCCTCCTTTCCCCTGTCATTTCCCTTTCCTCCCCTCCAGCCTCGCGGAAGACCCACCTTCGACGAGAGAGGAAGTTCTCTCTTACTATAAGGAGAGAGAGAACATCCTGAACCAGATTTCTGACGACATGAAGGAGGAAAAGGTAACGTGGAAAGAGAAAAAGAGAGGGGAGGAGGGAGGAAAAGAGGAAAGTGTAGGATCAACGCTTTCTTTGACAGGAAAAATGCCGCATTGGGCTCTAGAAATAGAAGGCTCGGGAAAAGTCAGGAGTGCTCCAACGGTGGATGTTGCCAAGGCTTACACGGCCTCCCGTCACAAGCTCAGTCGACCGACGGGTCATTGCATACATACTCACCTGTCTATCGTCCAACCAGATGGTGGGCAAACATAGTATTGAACTAGATTGGGAGGCATTGAAGGTGCGGCTTGGGAGCGAGAACACCCGGGGAGCGCTCGAGACGCAGGTGAGGGTAGGGGGTGGATACAGGGGTGGGGAATGCGGGGTAGATTGAAAGGAATATGCAAAGCTGATCATCATCTCATCCTTGTTCGGGGCGCAATGGCCAAATAAAGATGAGCTTTCAAATTGACCTCCCTGTCTCTTCCTCCTTTCTACTTTCTCCCCTTCCCCATCACCCTACCTGCCTTTTGCTCGTAGGGGATGGTCATCCTTGACAATGCATTTGGAGAGACAGGCGCGAAAGCCATGCGAGAAGAGATCGTCTTTTTGGCTGAAAGAGGCTTGATGACTCCAAATCAAACACGCTTTGGCCCGCATGAGGTACGGTACGAGGAAGAGAGAGGAAGAAGATGGAAGGGATGTATATATATATACATGTGTGCATGTCCGTATATATTCAATGACTTTGCATGGATATGCCGTTTATTGATGTGCACAAGCCTTCCATTTTCAAGCTGCACAACTCTCCGCTTGTATGTATATCATCTCTTACTCTGCGTATTTCCATCAGGTGTTTAGAAAGCCGTTCATATGGGAGGCGGACATGCACGACCAATTTCTACGCGCAAGAGTCCCCATCTTAGGTGAGAAGGAAAGTGTTAAAGAGTGGAGATAGGCTGGCATTCCATGCAAAATTTCCTACTAAGCCTGGAAGACAAGTGTAAACATGTCCGCTTCCATTTATTTTCCAGTCCTTTTGTTTCCTCACAGCCTGTACCTTCCTATGCGGTCAGTAATTTGGCAAATTTAGCTTTGACCCTTCCTTTTTTTCCGCCTTTCTCTCCTTTCCCATCCCCGCCTTCTCGGTCCTTCTCCCTCTTCATCAGGCTCCCTCCTGGAGCGGGAGGCTTTGACGGAAGGCCTGACGCCTGCCCTTCCCCCTGGCCTTGGAGGCCTGCGAAGAGGGATGAAAGGGCGGGCGCTCAAGGTCCAGCGAAATGGAGGAGGAGGGGGCAGTTTTGCGTGGCACTACGATAATCCAGGCAAAGGCAGTCAAAGAAGACTTACTTGCTTGCTGTATTTAAACCCGGGATGGTAATGTGTGAGAGGGGGGAGGAAAGGAAGAGGATGGGTAACAAGGAGTGACGATGAAGAGCTCAGTGCTCAAGTATACACTCTGACACATCGCTATATCCAAGCGACCTCGACGTTCGTTGTTTCGAGATTCTTTGTCCCATACCCGTATAACGCCTGACAACATGTCTGGATCGCACAATCGACACCTTTATAAATTCTATGCACCGCATCATCCCCTAGGTGTCAGGAGCATGGAGGAGAACTGGTCTTGCAGCCCTTTTTGGAGGGATCTCCCACCGTGATAGCGCCCTTGATGGACAGGATGGTCATTTTTCGGTCTGTCATACTCTCCTTTCCTCTTCCAATCGTCTGTCTTGCCCCTCTTTCTCTCCACGATACCATTTTTATTATCTTTTTCCTCAGAATCGTCTCTTTTGCCCCTGTAGCCTTTCCCCCATCCCGTGCACTATCACTTTTTTTCTTTTTATAATGAGACCCGCCCCTCTCAATTTTCCAATCCCTGTCTAGGAGCGATGCCATGCTTCACCGCGTAATGCCTGCCTACCATGAGCGTTACTGTCTAACTGTTTGGCTCGACGGGGATCATAACGTTAATTCTGAACGAGATCTGCAGGTAAAACCAGTTTCCTCTGTCGTGACTTTTCGCCCTGTCTCTTTCCCTTCGTTTCCATTCGGTATGATCCTAGGTCGTCTCTCATTTCCCGCTTTCTTCTTTCTCACATTTTCCTAACTTCAGCTCCATTGTGAATCTTATTCCTCGTGTCAGTCAGAACAAAAAAGAGGGCAAGTTTTTATTTAAAAAAAAACAGACTCTGGTCAGATACTTAAGTCTATTCTCACACCGTTCTCTTCTCCGCTTCACACGGCAGCTCCGTTTCTCTTCCGCCGAAGCTGCCGACCCTGAAGTTCTGGCACGAAAGCTCCGATTTTCTCCTTCTCAGCGCTTGGTGTCGCGTGCTGTCTATGCAGAGGAATACCAAAAAAGTTTGCGAGAGTGTATGGCGGGAGACACACCAGGTGAGGTGAAGAGGGCAGGGCAACAATATTAGTAGGAAGAGAATGAAGGCCATGATTTTATTTGGTTTCTTTGCTACGTATGCTAGGAGATCCATCCTCCACCACATGCTTTCAGAGGTGATAGGCCTTGACTGTTACGTTTTCTTGTTTGGACTTATCAGCTCTATCCCCTCGTTGGGAAGCAAAACAGTCTTAGGAAGGGAGAGAGGGAAAGAGAGAAGCTTGATTTGTCGAACTATTCTCGCCATATCCTTTAGTTTATTTCGGGTCGGATAAGATTAACGCGAGTCTTCTCCAATCTTTCTAACCAGGTGCCAAAGAGATGCTGGCAGCCCATGACGATCACGTGCAGGCAGTCAAGCAGAATCCTGCCATGCAGGCGCTCGTGGAGACGTTGAGAAAACTAAAGAAAGGAGCGGGAGACGTAGGGATGAATATGTAGATGTGTGCGGACAAAAAGGAAGGGAGGGGAGCTACAATGTTTGGAAGGAACCATGAGCATGGACTTTTGGGACAAAACACTTGGGATGTAAGTAGCCTGAAGACGGAGACGAGAGTCGTCCGTCATACTTCATTGCTGACAATCAGGATTGATTTTCTCGAAAGTAACGTGCGTAGCGCTTTTACAGCCGCAGATCTCATTCCAGCCTTTCCTCGTGGTTTTATTGGTTTTATCTCTCAAGCAATAGTGCCTACTTCGCTCTGTATCCTTCAAGATGAACACAACAACCTCACACCCGCCTTAGAAATGTGCCGCCCAAGAAATGTGCGGCTGTCTTTTGGACCTTACACACCTCGTCACTTGAAAGTGATATAGTTACGAGACCGTGGCCCCTTTCAACAGCGATCATTGTGCTCACAGCCTTTCTTCTACCAAGACGCTACGAGGGCTGCCCAAGCAAGATGGCTTGAATTTCAGAGAGAACTTTTGTCGTAATTTTCCAGCTGTGGATTACTTCTTTAACACTTGTCTCCTTTGCTCTGATGATGCTTTCATCTCTTGTATCTCTGCAGTGGACGTGCAGAAGAGTGCTTGGGAAATGAATGAAAGACGTTTTATACCTTCTCCTGTGCGTCGTAATGGTCTCATCATGATTCATTTGTGGCGTGCGTGGCCCCTTCTTTGTTTCTCGCTTTCATTTTTCCGCTATTTTGCTTTTACTCCATCAAGAACAGTTCGTTTTTTCCTCGCTCACTCTCCCCTTCTCTCTATTTCCTTTGGTGTCCCCGCTCTCTATACGCGATTGCATGTTTGATTTGGTCGATGTAGTGCCACAGTCAGCTGCCTTGCTCATTCCAACCACATGCCGTCGTCGTCGAAGTCGTGCATTCCCCGCCTTCCCAGCCACGTGCCCGCACCGCTCCGTCCCACGATTTTTTCTTTTTTAATCTGGTCCTCCCATCCCTTCTTCCCCTCCCCTCTTTTTTTTCGTGCGTCACTTCCCTCCTCATGTCAGTCTTGTCTGTCTGCTTCCTCTCTCGTCGCATCGTCTCCTTCCTCCGAGTCCTGGTTCCCGTCCTCCCCCCATTCACTGCTCCACAGGCCGCCTCGCATCCCCAAGAAATCTTGTAACAAGAACGCGAGCAGCAAAGAAGGGGCAGATTTTCGCACGTAAGACAGAGGAAAGATCTGGATCAAATCACCTTCGCTACGGCAACGGGGATGGGAAGGAGGAAAAGGCAGGGCAGAGAATTGCATGGGGGTTGGTAGATGGTGTATAATATCAAATTTCCCTCGGGCATCATAACTGGCTCTCCCTCTTTTTTCCCATTTGCGTCTCTCTCTGAAGTCCTTCCCCTCTCTTTGCTTTTCTCCTCCACTTACCAATCCACAGCCACCGTGGGCTCCTCCCTGGGACTTTGCCGGGGGAAGATCTGAAGCACATCCATGATCACCAAGGGCGGCAGGGGCATCACCTTCGTCTCTGTTTCCCCTCCTTCCTCCTCCTTCCCTCCCTCCCTGTCCTCGTCCTCTTCCTCTCCCGTACTTTTCCCCCCTTCCTTCCCCACCGCTGCGCATTTCTCGCCTGTGAGCCTGGGTTCTCTTTCAGATCCCTCCAGCATGTTCAGGCTCTCAATTCTCCCTCTTTTTCCGGTGGTCGTGGCAGGAAGAGGAGGAGATTCAGAGGGGGGGGTTGGACAAGGCGTACCAATGCCCACCCTGGCCGAACCGTGGGAAACAAGAGCAACATCGTGGACCGCATGGGAAGCGATCGGAGGAAACGTGGTAAGGAGATCTCCCTCTATCCCCCCCCGTTTCTGTATTCCATCCTCCCTGTCCTCTGAATTTTCCTTGCTTTCTCCTTCACCTCTCCTCCCTTTTTCTCTGGCTTCGATGCGGTCCCTCGTTGTGCTTGCCCAGAATGTCTCGCAGGGCAACAGACAAAACAAGTCATCCCCCATGTCGTTTTCCTTTCCATGGTGTTCCCCCGCTTCCTCCCCCCATCGCGTGCTTGCCTTTTCACCTTGCAAGTTCTCGCACCGACGGACTCCTTTCTTTTTGCGGAGCCTGTCGAGTAACCTTCTCTTCCATGCTCGTCCACCCGTATGGCTTCCTCCTCTACCTTCTCTCTCCCCTCCTCCTTCCTCTTCCTTTTCCTCCTCCGGCATCTTTTTTTTCAACTTTCCCACGATACCATCCTGATTTTGCAAAGCAATACTACTATTTAATCCTCCATTCCATCCCTTCTCTCTCCCTTTACCTTCCTCCCCACTACCAGCCTCCTGAATCTTTCTCTCCCTCGCCCGTTTGTCCCTACCTTCCCCCCTTCCCTGCTCCTCTCTCTCGCCCGACCTTGGTACTTTATTCATACCTTTCCCTGCTCGCTCATCACCCTCCCTCTGTCGTGCCTGCTGTAAAAGCTTAAGCCATCCCCATACCGTCCGAGGCGTTTCGAGTCCCAAGTTTCTCTTTCCAGCCCGTCTTCCCTTCCTGCCTCCAACCTCCCCTCCCACCCATCCTGACAACCGCACCAGCTCGCGGTCAAACGCTGGAGCAGCCCATCCTCGAAAAGTGAGAGGTAAAAAATGGGTGGGAGACTCGCGCAATGGGTGCTTCGATGTAATCGGGGAACATATCGGAGGGGGTAGGGGGCTTGGAACACCCGCAGAGGGGCTCGTTGCATGCACAGAGTCCCGTGACATTTGGCTTCCACTGTCCAGGCCCAAAGGGGACGCAGGCAATTTTGGATCTGCTGTTGATTTGATGGAGGTAGGCATAAATTCCGAGGAGGCATAAGACAGGGAAGAGAGAGGGCTTTCGGATGTGGGCCCGTGCTGGCTCATTTGATGTTGCTTCCTTATGCCTTCACTACCCTCGTTGCCTGCTGCTTCCTGCCGCAGCCATTGCTGGTCCTTCTTGCTCGCCCGGATCCTGATATTCAGGAGTGCATCTTGACATCTTTCCCGGTATAATTTGGGTTGCTGAGGAGGAAATGCAGGCTTTGACAGTCTACCATTCATTCTCCCCACCTGTGGCGTCCGCAGTTTTCGCAATGTATACGGACGTGAAATCGTTGACACCACGCCCCCTTTCTTTCCATCCATTGTTGCTTTGTCTTTCAACGATCGGTCTATCGGTGTTTCTTTCCCCTTTCTATATCTTAAAAGATTTTGCTCATTTTGAGAAAAAGTGCGGAGCGGTATTCTACGATCCCTGAGCAATTGACTTTTCCTGTGTCCCAAAATCTATAAAAATGCGGAGCAAATTGCAAAGCAAAGACCTATCTTAGTTTTTCAATTAATTGCTAAAAGTGGACGAGAGAGCAAAGTGAAGTGTACTGGCAGTATCGAGGCAGGCACGGAATATGCGTCTTACCTCCTTCCTCGGTTGCTTCCGGCTCGGACGGAACGTCACGTATTCATCATCCACCACATCGAAGACGTCGACCGCATCCTTGGTTAGCGTAGGAATCTGATTATAAACCTGTGCGCCGGAGGACATCGCGATCGGTAGGTTGCTGATGGCGTTCTTTTGAGTTGTGGGGGTCAGTATGTGGGGGGGTAAGGACTGTGACTGTACTGACAAGGCGGCATATTTAGCATACCATCTTTGCAACAATGTTCCATCCCCGATTTGGAAAGCTCCTTCAAAAAACTTTTCCACTATCGTGAAAGCTATTGAATCATCCAGCCAAAACACGAGGGACAGATCGTCGTAGTCTCAGGTAAAAAGCACAGCACCGGTGACGGGAGCTTCCATCAAGACGACGCTTCCTCCTTGAGCCTGGCCAACGGGGGGGTATTTACTAGGCCAATTTTCGGACTAGTGACGGACAATTTCAGCCAAGATTCTATGTATGCGCACACACATATTCAGTTGTATAGTTTATCCGATTATGCGTTGTGATCTTGCATGACTCATCTTCCGAGTAGAGGCTTCGATCCATTCAAACAAATTGGAGTTTCTCCTGCCAACCAACTTTTCGATCCTCGTCATAAGAATTATGTCACCATTGTCATAAGTAGAAATTAAAGAGAAGCAAACGAAAGGTCAAGCACAGGAATTCTGCGAAACAACGAAAGCAGGGGTACGAGAGCTTTCCACATGTAACAGACGCGACTTTTTACTTACTGAATACCTTTGAGTGATGGTGCATATATCCATTTTATGTTTCAAGGATAAAGGAGATACTTTCCTCGACGTTCGTGATTTATGCGATCAATGTGATCTTAATGAGTGGGACGGATTGCCTCCTCACGACCATCGCGCGCCTTCTGTGGCGGTATGTCTTAAGCGATGAAACCCCATCAAGCTTGCTTCTTTTTTAACGTTAAGTGCCGTACAACGCAAAGTGCTTTCTGTTCCCAAAATTCCCTGCCATTTGAGCTCAGCGTAGCACGAATGTTGTAGGACCAAGCCCCCCCCGGTAAAACACAGGTGAGTCATGGCACTCCCTCTGGCGGGAAGGTGCCGACCAGGGAAGCGGCCTCGGCGAACTCGCGATAAAAACCTTTCCCGGTATCTCTGGATACGAACTCAGTACGCCGACGATTCGCATCGAAAGGGTTTCCACCCTGGTTGCTGCTCCGCAGGAGTAGAGGAGGCCAGTGCCTGTAGTCCTTATCAGCGAAGCCTAGGCAGGACGACCTTGCACGCGCTCTTCGTCGAATAGGAGGCCTTTTGTAATTTCTGGACCGCCGTGAACACGCAAGACTAAGCCTATTTCGGAGGCGAGGCGAGGAGAGATTGTTCCATCAGCTCTGATGCCATGTCCGCCTTCTGTTTGTTGGTCCGGCGATAGGGTTCCCGGATCTGAAAGCGGATGCGGCCTCTGGCGTAGCCTGCCCCTGATATTCGTGCTCCCAAACCGCCGAATAAATTCAGGGTAGTGGAGAGGGAGATGAAAATGCTAAACCTAACAACTTATCTCCTTCGCGTCCGCGAACGCCTTCCTAAAGAGCTCCTGACACTCGCGGCGGTCTTTTTCCATGGGGCCCCCAATGGCCACGTCTGCTGCGGGCAAGGATTTCTAACCAATCCACAGGTCCACACCGTTAAGGCGGTCAACCTTTCAGCTTTCTCCTCCTGGGTAAGAGTTGCTCGTGTTCATCTTGAGCGAGGGTAGCCGTTAGCTGCAATATCAAGGCCGGATGCTCCTGCCCCATGATTTTGTTGGGGTTGGAGATACCGTGATCGAAGGTGGACATTGGAAATGCCTGACGCTCAAAGTTTCTCGAAGGGTCCAGAATTCGTTTGTCCCAACTGTTACAAATCAAGGTTCTTGTTGTATCTGGTGATCAGTTCCAAGACGTAATCGCCCGCCCGCTCCCTCAGAACTTTTCGTAATGCATGGAGGGGTTCGGGAAGTGGCCTCCGAATTGCCGAAAGGGTTGAAGCCAAATGAACGCCCCGAAATACGCATTCGACGAAGCGATTGACAGCTGGTCTGTTCCCATCCTTGGCTTTATCATGCTGTCGTTCAGCTCACGCTGCTCCTGCTTCGTCGTTGCGTGAGAGGCCTGAATATCGTCGTACAAGCGGTCAAGCTATATGTATATAACTGAAATATGCCTTATTGATGTACAAAAGCAAGCGATGGCGTATGCTTTGTCATCATGCCTTTCTATGGCACCCGGGCAGGGGCCCCCTAACCGTCATTTGGCGGTAGGCCGTCGCGTAACGGTTTTCATGAGTTCGGTTACATGTCTTTTTGATGTATATGCATGTAACCCGTACTCCTGCAGATGTCAGACTGACAAAGGATAAGAGATAGATAATTATCAAGTGACTGCTGAGACGAATGCAGCAACTACTCCTAACGTATGATTTATACAGGAATTAAATAGTACCGGGGAGATGAACGACTGCAAAGCCCCACACACATACATCAAATAAAGCACATAGGCTGTCTGGTTAAAAATTCTGCGATGGTAATTGTCATTTTGACTATATCTACTACGATTCTCGATCACTTTTACTTGCTTCCTGTCGTCTCATCCGTATCCTATGCATATTTATATTCAAAAATTTCTCCATCGAGGAGTTCGAACGATCCATCGATATAGAGTCTCTTTTGGCTGCCAGGCCTCATGTCCTTCAAGATATATGACAAGATCAGTAAGGGATGGATTTCTAGGTCAAATCAATAGCACATGTAACAGAATAAGCCAGGTGGCTCATCTTGCACTTCTATCAGACCCATGTTGGTTGATGTCCAACGAGGCAATCCTGACGTTCTTGCCTCTGACTTACAAATTCTATGCATGAACATAACAGATGATCACAAATCGAAGCGTTCAGAGCACCTTTATCATTGTTGTGTTCTCAACCCTACTTTGGGGGATGTATATAAGCCCCTCGGGCAACGATACTGACACGTGAGTACTGGGAAGAGCATGAAATCATGCAATTTTGTGGGTACATTTCCAGGGGCGAAATCATTGTCAATGGAGAATGTGGATATAGTTATGCGTAATGTGTCATAGTAAATAACCTTTACTTGCCTTACTGCACTTCTTCATTTCGGCTCGCAGGGGTATCTTCGATTTCTCAAGGGTTGGAGGAAAAGTCAAAGGTCGACCAGCTGAGACCCAAAATGACCCGATGACCAACAGCCGATTGCATGCACCCGAAAATGCGGCCGACAACGCCAAAATTCAGGCCCTGCAATTAGAAAATGAGCATTTGAAAAAAAAGGTCCAGGAATATGAAAGCGAAAGCCTTTCAAATCACAACGTGCTGCACGACTGGATAAATACATACGAAACGGGTCCTGGGGTACATAAATGGGTCCCTTACTTGGACGCATACCACCGTCACTTCAACCGCTTTCGATCTCAAGATGTGATTACTATGGTCGAGGTAGGAGTTCAAAGCGGGGGCTCCATTCAGATGTGGCAAGCCTATTTTGGCAAAGACAAATTGAGATATTACGGCGTAGATGTAAACTCAGCTACGAAGCAGTTTGAGACTGAGAACGTGAAGATTTCTATTGGGGATCAAGAAAATCCAGAGTTCTGGAGCATCTTCAAGAAGGAAGTTCCTACCCCAGTGGACATCTTCATCGACGATGGAGGACATAAAATGCATCAACAGACGGTTACCTTCGACGAAATGTTTTGGCACGTCCGAGATGGTGGGGTGTATCTGGTGGAGGATCTGCACACAAGCTATTGGAAGGGGTATGGCGGTGGGTATCATAAGCCAACCACGTTCATCGAGAGATCTAAGTCGCTCATTGACACCATCAACGCATGGCATTCCGAAGACGCAGAAAAACTAAAAGTAGACGACCTGACGCAAAACATTCGAGGTTTACATTTTTACGACTCCATGCTGTTCATCGATAAGCTTGTGACAAAAAAAATGCCCAATATCAAAAAGGGCGATAAATGGATCCCTGTCGAATAATATGATCAGGTTGTGTGTTTGACATGCATTGCACGACCAGCGAGTACCGCGTAATGTACTCCTGCAGAGAAGATAGATTTTTGTTACGTGGGTGACGCGATGCTAAGCGTTTTTCTACTGTGTGAACCTGACTTTGTGTCACGAGCACAAGAGATCGCAGATACACGAATGTGGAGGAAGTTATCTGCTACAGTCTTGTCAGAGGGAAGGCGATTGCGAAATGAAATAAATACGAGCGCCATTACTCAAAGGCGGGCGTTTTCTAAGAGTAAAATGTCGCTTCTGGCACATGCAAGGCTCACCCGACTCAATTTCCCCTGACTTAGTCGCTTCGCATTCCTGTGCTTCATGCCTCTTTATCTTAAACTTGTGACGATGGTAACGAATAATCCTTTGAAACGGACTGAAAATTTGGTTGGCAGGAGAATGTCCAATTTGTTTAATCGGATCGTAGGCGAACAAAGAGCTGTGAACGGTGAAAGCTTCAAGCTAGGAAAATTCTCCTGGCATGGGTCTAATAAAAAGAATGTTTGGACTTAATTTTTCAATAAAAGAGAGGGATAAATGTCAAACATTTTTGATTTTTATAATGCATTTACAAAAGTTGGAACGTATCACAAGGGAGGAAATGGCCGCCAGGCATCTCCTCACTCTTTGATCAAGTCAAAAGTACTGCTTTTCCTGTGCACCTGCACTCACAAATACCACGATGCCGGCGATGGACAAGCCTTCTCAATCATTGGGATCCGGTGGAGCGCTTTCCAGGATTGAGGCGCGTGATTTCTGGGTTTGAAGCTTTATGTGCTTGAGTTTCCCTCTCGTCTTTGAAGGCACACATTTAAGTCCCGTGTCACAACACCGAGGAGGAATTCCTTTCAAAGTAGGTTTGTTCATAGCACTGTTAAGACTGGACACGCCTCAGCCTAACTTCGATCCCATTTTTACATTTATTGTTCCATGTTGCTATTTTCATTACTGTGTAAGTAGTTGCAGATCTTGCTCGAGGTCGAGCTGTAGCTCTGAAAATCCGCTTCACGCGTGACGCCGTGGTCCCCCTCTCCGTTAAAGTACATAGTGCGAAACTTGAGATTTCAAAAACTTGTAATTTCAAGCATAGTTGGCCTGCACACGATTAATTCAATTGTGCGGGAGTACAAGAAAAAAAAATCGTGGTTTTTGGTAAAAAGGGAGTGAAGTAATGCATGCAAGATGGGCATCCGGGAGACGCTTCAGCCGCGGAAATTGAAAGTGGGAAGAAAGGTGCGGGTGTGACACGAAGCTCCAGCCCTAAGAAAGCGAGGACATGACACGCAACAATGTCACTATAGAGGCTGAAGGAGATAACAGGAGGCGGTGGATCGCAATGGTTGGAGAAAACTGCTGAGTTGTATCTCAAGAGAAAAAGGGTTTCTAATGGGAAGAAAACTTGAGCTGAAGGTCACCACCTTGTTGACCATATCGAGCAGTAAGGGGTCAAGCTAGGGAGTAAGTCGGGGGGGGGGGTTAAAAATAGAAAAGGAAGACGTGGGGAAAGGATGCTGCAATTGGTCGAGTTCGTCCCACGAGGATGCCTGAACAGACGGGTATTTTGACGCACATTTCTTCCTAACGAGGGTTCACCGGTTGGCGCGTCTTCTTGACGACAAGGATTGACGGCTGCTCTCATTGCGGGAAAAAAAAATGGGCAATTTGGGTGCCACCTTATGCCTACTTGACACTTTCACCAAAGTCGAGGATTACAAATCCAACCTCAAATTTAGGAAAAACAGGTAACAACCAATTTGTTTCTTGATGTCTATCATCCTTCCCACCGGCGCGCTTTCCCCTACCCTTTCCCCTTTGCGTCCTCTGCCCTCACGACGTTTCTCTCGCCTGCCGGGCCCTCCGCTGATGTCTTTCCTCCTCGTTGCCCCTCCGACCGCTCCCCTCTATGTATCTATTGGTTGTCATCCTCCAGAAGCTGAAATTCGTAATCCAAGTCTGTGAGCATGGAGACGCGTTGTTAAGCAAGGGGGTAGAGAGAAGGTGAGAGAGGGAAGGAGGGAGGGAGTGACCCTCCCGAGATGGAAGGGACGCGGCCTCTGTACAGAAGGTCGACGGAAGGGGGCTGGGAGGAGGAAAAATCAGAAAAAGAGAGGGAAAGAAGAGAAAAGGAAGCCAGAGGGAAACGTCGTCGTGGACACCACGGGGAAGGAAAGGAAACGAGGGGGATTGCCGCACTCACCGCTCTCCAGGACCCAATCAAACACCTGCTCCGCCCTATCGCCCACCAGAAGCTCCCACGCCCCCTCCTTCCCTGCTTCCCGCTCGCCCACCACGAAATAGGGTTGTACGAACTTCATCACCGTGAAAGTCTTGTCCTGGTGTAAAGGCAAGGGCAGTCGAGGGAAGGAAGGATCGGGAGGGGTGGGTGCCTTCGTCTTCCTGGTCAGGTCGCCCGACAACGCCAAGCCGGCAGGAAAAGAGGGAGGGAGGGAGGGAGGGAGGGAGGAAGGGAGGGAAGGAAGCCAACCTGGTAGGTAAAGTCACAAATAGGTTCCGCCATGTCCTCCAGGTCTTCCTCCTCGTCCTCCTCGTAGGAGTCGTCGCGCGCGTCGAAGTCATAGTAAGGAGCCTCGCTCTTGGCGCCCGGGGGAGGCGCCGGTCGGTCCGCGAAGTCCGGGTCGATCTGACAGGGACAAAGGCCAATGAAAGAGCTCCTGACACTCGCGGCGGTCTTTTTCCATGGGGCCCCCAATGGCCA